CGACGATTATAAAACATATGTTTGGAAGCAAACATAACCCTATTACCTGTTGCTGAGTTATAGTTCTCCTCCTCATAAAGCTTTTTACTACGTGTCTGCCTCCAAAAAGAGCTTTTTCATATTTCTTCTTTGGGTATATCAAAGTAATATTATTTTCCTTCGATTTTTGCCTAAATTGAAAATTTTATAGAACTTTATTTGCAGACTGGGTTGTAAGAATCGTTTGTGATGGGTTTCATCGTCTTTGACCCAAAATATGACGCAATGACGAATTTGATAAAAATATTCCGAAAATCAAAAAAAATATGCGAACGGGAGAAATTTAAGTCGTATATCTATACGTCTATCTTAAGCCATTCGAGGTGTTATCTATTTCGGCCAAGCTTAGTAGGCTTTTCCAATAGAATGTGCACATGGAATTCGCAGTTTCTATAGTAAGGAGGAATTGTTTAGCTTTTCAAATTCCCTGTTTAAGGGATCGATCAGGATAACGCAGATCAAATCAATCGCAGATAGGTTAAATTGAAATTGATCTCCGACTTTTTTTTATTAATTTGATGAAATGAACAAAAAAATAAAAAAAGTTTTAATATTGATAACCGATAATATTAGACAGGCACAGCTGGTGCATAGTGGAAACACTTATCAACTAACGTAGGTTATGAATAATGAGCAAAAGTTTCGGCTTTTGTCGCGCTGCGCCCTTCGAGTGACGCCGGCCATTTTCAATACGAAGCTGCTTACAATAGCTTCTACTGAATTTCGAAACCGTTGTGACATAGTGAATATAACGATCCAATTTTCAGCAGTCAGGTAGGTTTATGAACTACTTAGTTGATCATACATAATAACTGGAAAATCAATCTTAAGTCTCGTTACTAAATTATGGTGAACTGTAAATGAATTGCAGATGAAAAGAGTAAGTCGATGACTAAATTTTACGAACAAGATGTTAGGCTGAGTCCGACTATCCAACCATAGCCCTATCTGACTTGTACGAAGTAAAATCGGTATTATTGACAAAAATATAATTCGCTGAACTGAAACTGAAAACTTGAGGGGGGATAAATAATGGTTTTGAGAATTGATTGTAATTTTTTTAAAACATATTTAGGATGCGAAAAACAGTGCGACACCATAAGTTAATACATTTCCTCAGGAAACTTGCAAGATCATAGCATTTTTAATGGTGTTATTATAGATAAATTCCTTGTAATTAGTTATCCTTAGTAGGGACTATGACAATGAACGGGATATTAATCCATATTTATGTCGTAGTAGTCCCTCCATATTTAATCAATTATAGCCTAAGCCTTTGAGTTTACACCTCGCCTTTGGATGCTTTAGCAGATATAAATAATCTGATCATTTTTACTTACTCCTATAATGTGGTTTACGTGAAGAATATCGAAAATTGTTTCTGAGGCGAGTACATGTCATCTGCTTTTGTTTTTTCTTCCAAATTTCAACTTTCAGTTGCCTGAACAATTTGTGGTAATAGATGTAGTGGTGGTGGGGGGGGGGGTGGGGGTGGTGGTGGTGGTGGTGGTGGTGGTGGCTTACATTAAGATAATTACACCGTTGCCTGTGTGTTCGCATACGCATATGTATGTAAATTGTAGTGATATAATGGTGGTTGATTATTTTCTATTAAACAAATTTCATTGACTTAGAAAGCGTATGAATTTAACCACCAAAAAGGTCTTTTGAATAATTTTACAATTGTAACTTTTTAACTGAGTAATTTTTTCCAAAGGCTGACCGTTAATATGAAAATATTGTTCAAAAAATTATTGTTGAACATCTGCTGCTGCGATAAGGTTTAAGAAAAAAAACCTTTTGAAAGAAAGCAAAACTGTTTCGCGAAAACGCTTATCACACAGCGAAAATTCGTCAAAAACGAAGTTTTTCTACGTGTTCTCACGGTGCTACTGAATTCACTTAAAAAAAATATATATATATATATTAATAAGATTGCATCGACAAGGTACGTACACATGTTTTCTAGAAACTCTCTCTGACATCAAAAAAATTAAAGGTAGTCCCGAAATCTCTCGCAGTTTTTCCCAAACACACAGAAGGTTAAAATCACTTTTTTCAGGTACCTAGACAGATAAATAAGGTTAGAGTTTAAAATATGTTATATGAGCCGACTTATGTATTTTTTGAGACGTAAGTAAGATTTGAAAGATCAGAGTGACTATATAAGATATATTTTACTTTATTTCAAAAAAGGTAAAAGAGCAGCAGAAGCGCATAGAGAAACAACACGTATTATATGTATTATTAATGGTGTTTGATTAGTTTGCGAAATGACCCTCCAGATATTTTCAATGCAAGCTTTATCGCTTTTTGATAGCGCTCACCGATGACGAGCAACTAAAACCTATGGTTGAAACTGATCGACATCTAACGCTTCGTGATGTCGCAGAAAAAGTTAATTCATTCAAGACAAAAAAAATTATTTGGTATATACAAAAAAAATTTATTGATTTCATAGTGAAGAAGAACCGCCAAAAATTTCCAAACTATCTGATATTTTCATAATTAAGATAAATGTCTTTATTAAAATATTCTTAATTGCGGGCACGTACCACATTATCTTCCGATCTATGCTCTTTTGCCCTTTTGCAAAAAATCCCTTACGTTAGATTATATGCGTTTGGTTAAAACATCTTTATTAATTTCCCTATGTGATGTTAAGAATTTTTGAAGTTTCCTTTTAAACTTTATACTCCTTATGCTCATTTCATTGAAAGGCTCTTTATTTAAAAAATTTGACTCTTAACTGTTCAGTTAAGCCTGGGCCTTTTTTAATGCTCTGTAGAGTATACATACTATCTAGTAGAACTAGGGGATTTTTCCTAATTTCAAATTAAAAAATTTGCTAAAAATTTACTTTCAATAGTTTTTATAACATATCACATTTTGCGAGGATTTCGCGCGTTAGAGTAAGTTCGTGCTGTAGGGAGGGTACAGTTTACTTGTAGTCTTTTTTTTTTTTTAAATTAAGCTCCCAGATCTTAGATTAAAAAAAAAAAAAAAACGATGTTCATAAGTCAAGGTCAAACATTACAGGTCAATACAGTAGAAATACCGTATTAGCGATTCGTGAAGAAATTTCATTTTTTTTGGCCAAAACAAAAGTCGGTTTGTTTATCGTGTATAAATAGTTTACCAAGAACAGTAGAATTTAATAGATTTAAGGTTTAAGTGATCTCACGAGTTGTCATTCGGCGGCTTGATTCAATTAATGCCTTTATTTTATCTTTTTTGGTCTATCCATTGATCGCCTCCATACGCATCCAATAATTCTTTTCTGGCAGCAAGGTACATCGAAAGGAACATTTTCATAAGGAACACGTTTGCGCAGAATCAAATAAAGTTACGATATCATCTTTTATCAAAATGTTAACTTGGCTATAGAAAAATGCAATTAAATTCACTGTTAAGAAAAATAAAAACGAAATTACTTTCCGAACAACCTAATGGTGCCCGAATACTATATTACGCGTCTACGGCATAAAAAATATTTTAATTAATAGCAAATCTTATGAATGAATTGTCTTCTTCTTCTTCTTCTTCCATAAAGCAGTTGATATAACTTTATGTGCGCTTTTGAACGCAAAGTCGAAAAGTCGAAAAGTAAAAATTGATTGACCCTTTCGACTGCAGTTTACATATTGAGTTAGCATAAAGTTTAAAATCTCGTAGCAATGATTTTTTCGATTCCAATACTGCGTACGCTAAGGCAATTTTAAGGAGAACAGATAGAGATGAAGTATGAATTTTTCTATACTTTTAAGCTAAAGTGTTCTTTTAACATTTAACCCCAATAAGCGTATATTTTGCAAGGCGTAACAATTCGACTTTATAAATATCTTTAAGAACGATTATCGCAAACGCTTTTGCTATTAATGGATTAATTATTGATTCTTAGAATATAAACGGACAGCTGTTATGCGAGGCAGGAAACAATATATTGAAGGTCAAACTATTATTAAAGATAATCGCGGCTATTTCTTTGCCTAAAGTGCACTTCGTAGCGAACAGTGATATATTCGATATTACAAGTAATTTATTATGTTCTTGTAAAAATTTGTTATAAATCCATTATATTTTTACACAATGTTGTGACGACTGCTTGACATATAATTAATTAGCTAATACAGCTAATCAGCCCAAACCAAATGCTCTGTGCTCATGTTGTCACGGTGTACACTATTACACTAAGAATCAAAATGTGGGGGAAGGTGGACGGGTAGTGGTAAGGGGGTGGGAGAGCAGAGTGCTGTAGGCATAAATTTTGGGAAATTGGAAACAAATTCTTACGAAAGGTGCATACGTGAATCGAAAGGGTCCCATAATGGCAGCTGACTTCTAAAACTGCTACTGAAAGAAATGGGATAAGAATTCTTCGGTTCTTGGGTCATAATACCTGAAACCATGACATGACAATTTACGTAAACTTCTGTTGTTTCCAATTCCCGACGAACCTTATCCTCAAATGATTGTGTCCAATTGAGAAAAGTGAGGATATCCAAGATGGAGAAGAAATGTTCTTCAGAAAAGTATCCAACCCATGGGTTTAATGTGTTTAATTATTTTTCCTACTTATTCATGCACTGAACTCCAGTTTATATCGAATGTAATATAATTCTCGATTACTTTTGGATAATTGGATAAGAAAATATGTATGCTTTTCTCATACATAAAATATAAAAAGTTTTTCTCTACGCCTTAAGAGGATTCACATGATAAAATTATTAAACAATTAACATTGTGTCCCATGCAGTGTTTTTTCGGTTTTCATTGCTTGCTTTCATCCTATCGTACGCCATTTGATCTGGCTCTAAAAGTCAATTTTGTCTTTTTGTCTTCGAATCAATTTGTGAATCAATTATTTTCATTTGCGTTCTTTTTTTTCACCTCCACGTTCAATTTCTTTTATGGTTTTAGTTCAAATTTTATTTTATTCTTATTTTTCGTTCTTTTTGTAGATCCTTTTGGCATGCTTGTGTCTAAGGCCAGATTTATTGGTAAGTTGCGTCGTTTTTATGCATTTTTAAGTTTAATAATAGTTTCCCTTTTTGATTTCGTTTAATTGTAAAAATCTCCCATTGCATTAAAATTAGTAAAATTTCAAGCTTCTTCTTTTACTCGCAAGAAACATCAACGTTATTTGTTGTTTCAAATAATTATAAAAATGCATAAAAATTATTAACCAAACTCGATCATTTCTAGCAAAAATTTCGTTATTGAAATGTGACAATAATAATGAAAAAAAAATCTCTCTGCTCTTTAATAATAATAATAAAATAATTCTCATTTCATTATTTTTGTTTTTTACATTCATACCATAATACATCTACTACTACTAGTACTGCTCTACTACTACTACAAGTACAACAATTTTGCTGGCCTTAGACATCAAGTAAAAATAATTTATTTTTTCAAGCATTAATTAAAAAAAAAAAAAAGAATTGTGTTTTTTTTTTTTTTTGCGCTTACTGCATAATTGGGTTTGAGACAACCAAAAATAGGCAATACGTTTTGAAAATGTTTTAGCTCAAAAATATAGGACAAACTTTTTGTCTGGCGAAATGAGCGATTTTTAATAAAAAAAATATATTTTTTTTTTTCACAATTTTTTTTTTTTTTTTTTTTTCTTTTTTAGGATGATATACCTGAATCAGATCCCGACTCTTGCGGTCACGATGCCGAAGGGCATGAGGACGAAGATGACGGCGACGATGAGGACGAGGACGAGGAAGACGAAGAGGACGAAGAAGATGAAGATGACGAGAATGAAGACGATGAGGACGACGACGATGACGATGAAGAGGACGAAGAGGAAGAAATCGACGATGAAGATGAGGAAGAAGAAATACAAGATCCTAATGAAGTGAGTGGTGATTTCTTGCTCGATGTTAACAATGATCGTAGCCGTAATCTTAATGCCCTCTTCGAAGCTGCTGGTAGGTCTAGCTTTTTAAGTTTCATTTCTAACAAATCACAATAGTATTGACATTATTGGTGCTTCTATATCTTTTTATTTATTATAGCCAATGAAAAAGCTCCGGTTTTGCGCCACGCTACCCATGCTATAGATGAAACTAAGCAGGCTTTAACTAAGATGCGCGGTGCCAGCAGTGATAAAACGTAAGCTAATTAGTTTATATTTTCAATAATAAGTCGAATAAAATGCTATGCTTATTATTATGCCATCTATAGTATGTTCTCTCGCACTCTGATTGCTGCCTGCAATGACAATGATGTCAATACGGTTCGCAGTTTATTGGGAAAAGGCAATGTTAATATTAATGAATCTATAGACGATGGCGACTCTTTATTGTCCATGGCGTGTTCGGCTGGATATTATGAATTAGCTCAGGTAACTTTGAATGAATTTCATTTCAAATATATTTGCTAATCAAATAATTTTATAATTTAGGTCCTCTTGGCCATGTCGGCTGCCCAAGTCGAAGATAAGGGACAAAAAGATCGCACACCTTTAATGGAGGCAGCTTCGGCCGGTCATTTAGAGATTGTTAAACTTCTACTTAGCCATAATGCCGATGTGAATGCGCACTGTGCCACTGGCAATACACCTTTAATGTTTGCTTGTACTGGCGGTCATGTAGAGGTAGTTAAAGAGCTGCTCAAACATGGAGCTAACGTAGAAGAGCAAAATGAAAATGGTCACACCCCCCTAATGGAAGCAGCTGCTGCCGGCCATGTCGACGTAGCTAAGGTGAAGTTCATATCAAACAAATTGAAGAACTAAATTTATATTATTGTCCAATGTGGTCTTGCCGGCTTTTTTTTACATATGATGATAATCCGAGATATGATTCTATTAGCGTCGTTATAATGTTCTGGTACCTTTTCGTATCTTTATAAGATTTAGTTAACAATCAAGTTAAAAAATAAAGATTAGAAAAAGATGGAACATAAACGCGTGCCGTGATGTTTATTGATCTTATTTGATGTGATAGTAATTTAAGCGACTAAGCTCGGCGAATAAAAAAAATCGAATTTTCTTTTAATGTTTTTATTTCGTAGGTTCTCTTGGAACATGGTGCTGGCATTAACACTCATTCAAATGAATTTAAGGAGAGTGCGTTGACGTTGGCTTGCTATAAAGGTCATTTGAACATGGTCCGTTTTTTGTTGCAAGCCGGTGCTGATCAAGAGCATAAAACTGACGAAATGCATACTGCTTTAATGGAGGCGTCTATGGATGGCCACGTAGAAGTTGCCCGACTTTTGCTCGATTCGGGGGCCCAAGTGAATATGCCAACTGATTCATTCGAATCACCTCTTACTTTGGCTGCTTGTGGCGGTCATGTGGAGTTAGCTACTCTATTGATTGAACGTGGCGCTAATATTGAGGAAGTTAATGATGAAGGTTATACACCGTTAATGGAAGCTGCCCGCGAAGGACATGTTGAAGTGGTGGCATTATTACTGAGTAAAGGAGCCAACATTAATGCTACTACGGAAGAAACTCAAGAAACAGCTTTAACCTTGGCTTGCTGCGGTGGTTTTAGCGAAGTGGCCGAATATTTGATAAAGCACGGCGCAAATTTAGAACTCGGTGCATCTACACCGTTAATGGAAGCGGCACAAGAAGGCCATACCGATTTAGTTAGATTTCTATTGGAGAATAAAGCTAATGTGCACGCCGAGACGCAAACGGGTGACACCGCCTTAACGCATGCCTGCGAAAATGGTCATACCGATGCTGCCGAAGTTCTTCTTAGTTACGGAGCCGAATTGGAACATGAATCGGAAGGTGGTCGCACTCCACTTATGAAAGCATGTCGTGCTGGTCATCTGTGTACTGTAAAATTTCTTATTCAAAAGGGCGCTGATGTCAATAAGCAAACCAGCAGCAATGACCATACTCCCTTATCGTTAGCATGTGCCGGTGGCCATCAAGCCGTGGTAGAATACCTTTTAAAGAGCGGAGCCGATCCTTTCCATAAACTTAAAGACAACAGCACGATGTTAATCGAAGCAGCCAAGGGTGGACACACTCGCGTCGTTGAATTGCTCTTCAAGTATCCGCACTTTATACAAAACCACCAAAATGAATTGCAATCAGCGGCCGCTGCTGCAGCAGCTGCGAATGCAGCCAATGCGGCAGGTATGAACAATTCGACGGGCACCAATGCTGCCGCGACCAATCAATTACACCTCATCAATCTTCAACAGCAAAAGCAATTGCAGCAACAGCACAAGCAATTGCAACAGCAATTGCAATTACAGCTGCAACAGTTAAGTGCTCCGCCTGGTCTTCACGAAGTATCAGAAGCTGTAAGGGCGTCCAATCAGCAAATATTTCATCAACAGCAATTCACTACGAATCAGAACACTCTAACTGCCGGAAATGAATATCTAGATGAGCAACTACAATTGGCGGCTGCTGCAGTCAGTAATGACGTTAACAGTCAAGGTTGTGGTGAAGAATACGCAGCTATTGACATCAATTCATTAAGCGCGCAGCAACAAGAGGCTTTGATTGCCAAATCACGCTTATTTCATCTGCAGGCGGGTTTCGGTAATGCTGGCAGTAATATAGAGCAACAGCAACAGATGGCTCAGCAGCTCAATAATCAAACCACACAATCACGAAAACATTTTGATTTGGAAATGTCCCATATTTTACCGCTGACACCTCCACAAAAAGCGCCACCAGCACCTCCGATCTTAGCAGCCTCTACACAGCCACCACAACAGCAATCCCAGCCGCAACAGCAGACATCTCAACAACAGCAGCCGCAGCTAAAAATAAAAGGAGCTCAGCGAAAGAGTCGTCAACAGCCGCCGGCACCGTTTGAAGTTAATTTGCCCACTGCCAATGCTGAACAACAGCAACAACAACAATTGCAATTTCAACAACAGCAGCAGCAGCAGCAGCAGCAGCAGCAGCAACAACAACAACAACAACAACAACAACAGGTACAATTCTCCTTCTTCAATGATGAGGCCCGTTTTACGAGGCGTCGATTTTTCAGAGAAGATTATCGTAAGGTGAGTGGATAAGAGCAAGAGGTAGATAACACGAGGATATTATGATTTCCTGCATCTGACTTTACTTTGACCACATGCTTTTTTAGTTAAAATCCATTGTTTATTTTCCAACTTTTTCAATACTTTTATTGTGTTGACCAGTTTAGTTTTATTCATCCTTAAAGTCCAATAGCAGTAAATTATAAATTTTATTACTTCTACAGATGTTATCAGAAAAACAAAATGTTCCGCCGAGTTTGGTGCCTGTTTCCTACTTGGAGTTGGCTGCTCCTGCTCCAGGCTCATCTGTAGGTAATTCTGGGGATGGAGCCGAAAATAATCTGGCAATGAACCAAAACTTATTATCAGGTAAATTACTACCTAGTATCATCTATCTATCTATCTACTACTATTATCTATTACTGTTCACATCTCAAGAGCAGGCGCTCGTTAGATTTCTGCTTCCATTTCGAATGCCCAGGAATACCCTTCATAGCTCCCACAAATTTTCAGACAGTTGACGGTTTTGAGTCAAATTATATTTATCTTTCTTTCCGTCCTTCTGCCACTTAATTTTTGCTAGAACATCCATCTTGTAACAGAAATTGGCATACAAATCTGAATGTAACATGTAGGGGCGTGGCGCGATCTGTCCCTAGTGGGCAAAAACAATGTTTGATTAACAATGTATATAGAAATCGGTCTGAAATGCAGTACACAAGCATGTATGAAAATTATCTACAATTTTTCAGAAAAAATTAGGGTAATTGAAATTGAAATAAAAACGTGTCCCCAAAATTCACGAGCCATATTATGCAAGGATATGTTGATTTAAACACGTGTTGTGTTTTCTAAAACTGATCGACCATGCCATGGTATGACATCATTCTCCCTCAAAAATGCCTTACTCAGAAGGTTATCAAAAATTCGCGTTGAGGCGTATCTGTCCATCTTAATTGTTGTTTTAATGATATCGTCTAATTTTCATATATAATTATGCGTCCCATTAATAGTGGCTCCAGGTGTTGCCGATGCTAGCGATATGCAACACATGCTGGTCGCTAGTGGACCAATACCTCAAAATATTGCTCCAACTCAAGCTATGGTGATGCAAGAACTTTTTGACGCTAATAACAGTCAAACCTTAACCTTGGCACCAACCACTTTGCCACCAGGTACTCAATTTGTTCTGGGGCAGCCCACGGCACAACAATTACAACAACAGCAACAGCAACAGCAATCGCAACAACAGCTATCGCAACAGCAACAACCCACACAAAGGATGGTTATGAAAAGCAACCAAAAAAGCGGTGGAATCACAAATGCGTCTGAAGTATCCCAGAGTACTGCAATTAGTGATCGACCTAAGGCTAAACCAGTGTCAAAGAAGGATGGCAAAATGTTGCGTAAATCCAGTACACAAGCATCAGTTCTGGCTCTACAGCAGCAGCAGCAGCAGCAGCAGCAGCAACAACAACAACAACAACAACAGCAACTTCAACAACAACAACAACAGCCAGTATTTCGACAAAATCAGATGGTGTCCATTTACAACAATTTGGTGAGTGTTACGTCGCATCCTAAACATATTTAAAATAACTGTTATTACATATTTGCAGCCTATGTTGATTACGAACGATGCCACTCCTACTTTGCAAGCTCAGCAAGCGATCATGAATCATATGGTATTTGCCGCCCAACAACAACAACAACAACAACAGCAACAAATTGCTTTAGATGTTAACAGTTCTAATAATGTGAATGGCGGCGTGATTGCTTTGAGTAATTCCCCAGCATCACCTTTGGCTTCGCCATCCTCGGGAGCAAGTGCTGTGTTTAATACTCAACAGCAACAGGAATATCAGCAACTAATGGAAATTGGTTCGAATATGGAAAGCGAACAACAGCAATTACAAAGTCAAGCTGTCCAAGAATTGCAAGAGGCCTTGGGGCAAGCGGTTTTAGATCCAAAATTAGCCATAGCAACCAACAATACTTCTACGACAGATTCTTTAAATGCTCTAAGTAAGACTAACGCTGCTGCTGCTGCAGCTGCAGTAGCTAAAGCTTGTGGTCTCAATCCAGCTGAACAGCAAGAATGTCTAAAAAAATTGCAAGAAGGCTGGCAAATTGTAGATTTACGTCAGCGCATTTCCCATAAGCAACCTAAATCGCCCGTTGAAACGCCACCTGATAAGCAACAGCTTCTGATGGAAGCTGTTTTAAACGCGAACGAGCTATTGGAGAGTGTGGATGGATGTGAAGTAAATTCTGAAATGAAAAATTTGGCTACTTTATGCACAGCGGCTGCAGCAGCCGCTGCCGTTAGTGTACCTTCGGAAGATTTCAAACCGGATTTGTCGCAAGGTTTGGATTCGGAATCGCTGAAGAAAGATTCTGAAGGTGACATTGAGGATCGCGTTGATAGTCACCTAATTCTGGAAGATCGAGACACAACTACCACTGAGGACGTAGTTGAAGGCAGCGAAGAGACTGCTCCGGATGAAGATACCAATCCCGAAGCAGACCAACAATTTGAAGATGTTACCGCTACCACAACAACTACCACACCCAACGAAGAAAACACCGAATGCGACTTGAACTCACCTTCGAAAAATATTAAACTTTCACAACGCCTTGAGAGTTTAATGTCCACCGTACCCCTTAAACCCGATGATCTATCGCAAGCTTTCCAGGACTTGCGTCATGAAATTAGTACGGATGTTTTGACAGTGTTCCCGCAGAACGTGAATGTTAAATATACCGGAAGTCAAGCTTTGAGTAATGCCTTGCAACAACATTTCGCTCAACACGCCATTGGTTCAAATTCAAAGGAGGTGGGTAGCGAAGTTACGAATATAGTTTGCTCAGATTTAATTGAAACTGCCGAAGCTACGGCTGCATCACCTGATCCTGACCTTATATACCCCGCTTCTATGGATACTGAAACCCTTAAGCAATTTGCTAATGCGGCTAATGCTGCACCTGCCTCACAAGCTGGCCCGGTCGCAGCAGTGGCAGCTGGTGACAATGAAGAAGCTATACGTGAAGAAATGTACGACATAGAAGTGGAAATGGATGAATTTTTCCATGTCATTCATAATGTCCACGACCCGGCCTTACAGGTGTGTTGAAATCACAGAGTGCTTGATAAAAAAGCACCTTTTAACTTTGATTGTGACTTTTCTTTAGGAATTTGCTAACAATTTAAATTGCGGGGATTTGGCCGATTTTGGTATTAATTCCATTTGTAAGACTCGTTGGAATGGTAATTGGGCATTAACGCCAAAATGGTCCAATCAAGATCATTTGATGAACAACGCCGCAGTTGCATCTCATCAACAGCAACCTCAACAGGCAATATTGGCAGTTAATGAAGCAGAGCAGCAACAGCAACAGCAACACCAGGCACAGCAGCAGCAACAACAACAACAACAACAGCAACCCGATCAACAACGGCAAGGCAATTCCTTATTCTTGGATTATCAGTTCTCCCAATTATTGCATCAAGCCATTACTGAAGTTGATGAACGATGCAGGCGTGAAAGAATGCAGGTAAGCGATTACAATAATATTAACGAAGCGTAAAATTTCTGAAATTTCGACTTTTTTTTAGAAATATCTCACAGACGAAGCAATCCAACAGCAAGAACCCCAGCAACAACAACAATTACAGCAAAATGTACCTCCTACAAGCAACAATCAAAGTGCTGTTGCCGTATCTGACTATCAGTTGCAGCAGCAACAACACCAACAGCAACTTGAACTAGATCAAGAACTTAAACAACATATACATCAACTGCAGCAACAGCAACAATCTAATGTGAGGCTTTTGAAAGCAGTAGCAGCAGCTGCTGCTGGTCAACAACAACAGCAGCAACAAGATATAAACAGCCAACAGGGTACTGCGGTTAGCGCAGCAGCTGCGGCACCTACAAATTTCGTTTTTAACGTTGATGGTAGTAGTGGTGTTGGGACTGCTGTAGCTGACAAATCTTCGCAATCTCTGCAATTGTTCATACCTCTGCCACCCACAGTACAGCAGCAGCAGCAGCAGCAGCAGCAGCAGGACGGTGAAACAAATGCTATGGTGGCTGCTACAGCTCAGCAGCTACAACACTTAAAATTGCATCATCAAGAATTGCAAGATCAACAAAAACAACAACAACAACAGCTTAAATTATTGCAACAACAAGAGCAGCAGATACTACAAGATTTGTCTCAACAAACAACTGAAGGTTTAATGCAACAGCAACAACAGCAACAACTGCAGCTACAACAGCCGCAGCAGTCAGCCGGTTTGGGTACATTGCATGATAATATGTTGTTACAGCAGCAGGAAACAGCATTGGCTCACCAGGTTCTCAACCAGCAAGTTTTAAAACAAAAACAACAACAATTATTGATGCAACAGCAGCAGCAGCAACAACAACAACAACATCAACAGCAACAACAGCAATCAACACAGGTAGATGTTAAAGCATTTTCATCACTTCTTCATATCACATATCGCAAGCAATCCTACAAAAATTCGTTCCTTTATTTCCTTTTAGGTACAAGTTGCCACACAAACGCAGCCATCTGTAGTTATACCACATCCTAATGCGGTTCAGGTACAAACAGCACGAGGCGTTAATCAATTTTGTTCGACGCTCTCCACTATGGCTGCCACTGATGTGGGTTTGGGTAGCGTGTGTGCTTTAACGCCCCAACAGCAACAACAACAACAACAACAGCAGCAGCAACAATTGCAGCAATCTCAATCTCAACAGCAGATGGCTGTAGCTGCAGCTCATGCTGCCGCTGCTGCTGCTCAACAGCAACAGCAACATCAACTCGTCATACCAGCACCATTAAGTTCAGCTTTAACTGCCGTGGCAGCAAATACTTCCGTATTGCCACAAGCATCTACCAGCAGTGGTAGTGGATCAGGTAAAATGCCTGGCGGTATAGCCAAGAAAGTCATTGACAAACAATCGCGCAAAGAAAGAAATCGTTATTCTTTATTGAAACCATCTGTTGCTGGTAGTCAAGGTATTTCGGTGGCTTTGACAATTGTTCGCGAAATCCATTTTTCATTCTAATTTCTATGCAATATTTTTTTTCATTCTTCAATTACAGCTAACGCCGCTGCCCAACAGCAATATCAGCAGGCAGTTGCGGCAAGTACTGCTCTAGATAAAACCATTGATGTGGACTCGGAAACGGATTCTAATCATGATACCGCTCTCACACTAGCTTGCGCCGGTGGCCATGAAGAACTTGTGGAATTGTTAATAAATCGAGGCGCAAACATAGAACATCGTGATAAAAAAGGTTTTACCCCATTGATACTGGCTGCCACCGCTGGGCATGAGAAAGTGGTTGATATCTTGCTAAAGCATGGAGCAGATTTGGAGGCTCAATCTGAACGCACCAAAGATACGCCATTATCTCTCGCCTGCTCTGGAGGTCGCTACGAGGTGGTTGAACTTTTACTAAGCGTGGGAGCTAACAAAGAACACCGAAATGTTTCCGATTACACACCATTAAGTTTAGCTGCTAGTGGTGGTTACGTAAACATCATAAAATTGCTTTTGAGTAATGGTGCGGAAATTAACTCTCGAACTGGTAGCAAACTGGGTATTTCGCCACTTATGTTGGCTGCTATGAATGGGCATACGGCTGCTGTTAAATTACTCCTGGATCAGGGTTCTGATATTAATGCTCAAATCGAAACTAATCGTAATACTGCCTTGACTTTAGCTTGCTTTCAAGGTCGCCACGAAGTCGTTAGTTTGCTATTGGATCGGAAAGCTAATGTTGAACATCGGGCTAAAACGGGGTTAACTCCACTAATGGAGGCGGCCTCAGGTGGTTACATAGAAGTGGGTCGGGTTTTGTTAGATAAAGGTGCCGACGTCAATGCCGCTCCGGTACCTACGTCTAGAGATACAGCGCTGACAATAGCTGCCGATAAAGGTCATTTGAAATTTGTTGAGCTTTTGCTTCTGCGCGGCGCTGCCGTCGAAGTAAAAAACAAGAAAGGCAATTCCCCCTTGTGGTTGGCTGCCCACGGCGGTCATTTAAGCGTTGTCGAAATCTTATATGGACACAATGCAGACATAGACTCTCAGGATAATCGTCGTGTCTCCTGCCTTATGGCCGCATTCCGTAAAGGTCATACCAAAGTGGTTAAATGGATGGTTCAATATGTTACTCAATTTCCTTCTGATCAAGAGATGCATCGTTTTTTGAGCACTATCAGTGATAAAGAGTTGTCCGAGAAATGTTATGATTGTATGAAAATAATCAGAGCTGCGAAAGAGGCCCAAGCTGTTAAGGCTAATAAAAATGCTTCTATCCTCCTGGAAGAATTGGATATGGAAAGAACACGAGAAGAAACCCGCCGTGCTGCGGCAGCTCGTCGCCGTGAACGTAAGAAAAAGAAAAAAATGGAAAAAAAGGAGGAGAAACGTCGCCAAATGGAAGAAGCTTCAGGAAGCATCCATGGAAATGATCCGGACAATGATAAAGACTCCGACAAGGAAGAAGATAGCGACCACGAGGAAAACAATATCGGCGAAGACGATGATGATCAACCGATTCCACAAATTTATCGCGAAGAAGGCGATTCGGGGATTGACCAGGGTTCATGTTCTAGTACCGATATGAAAGCTAACGGTATTAACAGCAATTCCGTCGCTGAGAAGTCAATTGGAGTTGGAGCTAAAAGCAAACCGAAGAAAAAGAAACAACTAGTAACGCGTAACAGCAGCCCTGTGGTAGAAGAGAATCTAAATTTATCTAGCAGATCATCCGGCCAAAACAAGCAGGCCAATGCTAAAAAAGATGAACAGCCCGCCGTTAGCAAATCGTCAGGAAGTTCTAAAAGAAACCAAGAAGCAAATGCTCAAAGCAATACATTGCAATCAAGAGCTCATCCCACTCCCAACAATGCAACTACGAAAAAGCTTGAGCCACATAACAGAAAAGATGATTTGGTGGCACTCCCTAATACTAACAATACAATTTTTTTTGCGCCACCAGCTGTGACAAGTACCAACGGGAAAAAGAAGGATTTAAGTAGACAACGTGAGAAAGAGAATCTTGCACCAAAAGAAACATCTGCTAATACCGCCTCGTCTCAACTTTCTCACAACAGTACCCATCAACATAAACCACAACAACAGCAGCAACAATCAAAGCTTGATTCGGCCTGCGGTGGTGGAAATCGTAAATCATTGGTTTTTTCAGCCACTAAGAATCCGGAAGATTCAACTAAAAAAGAAACAACGGATCATTCCAACACTGCAGTCTTGTCTGCCGCAAAAACAACTTTGCCGTCAAAGCGCAGTGAGAATGGTTGGAAAGAAGTCGTGCGCAAAAGCTCAACGCAACAGGGTAGTTCGACTGCCGCCAGTTCATCCTCTTCAACGGCTACTTCTAATACGAATCCAATTTCTACATCGACATCATCTGGTTTAGGAGTGTCAACCACATCTACGGTCACCTCTACTATGCCAGAAATGACTTGTAAAAAAGTGCAGGTACCAGTGAATGCTATTTCACGTGTCATTGGCAGAGCTGGCAGCAATATAAATGCAATACGCGCCACCACAGGAGCTCATATCGAGGTCGAGAAGCAAGGAAAAAATCAGTCAGAACGCAGCATTACTATTAAAGGACTCACTGAGGCCACAAAGCAGGCTCATATGCTAATATTGGCTCTTATCAAAGATCCTGATGTTGATATTCTTCAAATGTTGCCTCGCATTAATACCAGCATTAAAGCGTCCACAGTGCCCGCAGCTTCGTCTTGCTACTCGTCGGCTTCCACGATGACCGTAGGAATGTGGGATAATAAAACTGCATTGGCCGTCACTTCAAATTCTGGACAAGGCAATATGTCTTCAGGATCTTCTACCGCTTCGTCCGTCTCTTCGACAACAGGCACTATTACACACCAAAGTACTTCTTTGGGAGGTACCGGCTCTAAAAGTGGTGCCTTACCCAATTCCAAGTCTTCGTCTAAGAGTCAGGGCACACCCAATGCATGCCCAAAACCACAAACTGGGCGAACTCAACCTAATAAACCTTTCTATTCCCAGCAATCTTTGCCGACAAGTCGCGGAGCAGTATCTTCCAACAATAATGGTTCTAAACATAAAGAGGTGTCGGGCGGGACAAAATCTCTTCAGAACACTTCGATATCCAGTACATATATTAGTACTGGAACTCAGAAATTAGGTTTGGGATCCAAGCAAGCCGCTAATATAAATTACGGCGGGGTGGTAAATACGCAAACATTTGCTGCCAAGTTACTGACAGGCGGATCGTCCACAGGCACTGGTGGTAATAATAATTTGTCACCAAAAAAAAGTGACTTGCTTGGTGGAACACGTCCTGGTATTACAGCTCCTTATGGAAGAGGTAAACCTATGCCAAGTTCATCGATACCACCTCTGGGTGGAGCTAACACTTCAAACGCTTTGGCAGGTCCTATTGGTACATTTAATGTGGCGGAAGCAGCGGCAGCAGTGGCTGCGGCTAATGCTGCGGCAGCAGCCGCCGCTGCAGCCAGTGCAGCTAATAGCATTGCAAGCAGTTCCGCTCAGCATGCACGTTCCGTCACACCAATTGGACCGCCCAACAAGCAAAGATCTTCGACGCCAATTGGCAATAATATGACAACACAACAACAATCACCTAACACGCAAGCCGGCAATGCAAGTCAACAATGCGCACATTTATCTAATTGCAATTTACAAAGGCAATCAAATCAGTTACAACAACAGACACAACAATCGCAATCAAATTTACACATGAATACTACAAGCATCCAGGAAAATAGTGCAGTTTCATCTGCAGCGCCAATGCCTTCAAGTGGCAATTTTGGAGCTCAATTAGCAGCCAAGATAAGTAGTGAATACACTCTATTCAATGATTACCATCAGTCTCAATGGGGTTCAACTGATAATTCACAAATTTATAACAATCAAAGTGCTTTAGTAAACGATAATTTACCACAAGCGGATGCTTCTAAAGCCCCAGGATACAACCGAAATATATTAAGTTCTCCAGTAGGTAGTTCAAAAGCCTCCTCGAGTCATTCGACTTCTCCACCTGGCGTTATATCTTCTTTGGTAGTACCAACTCAACAGACTTTAGCCATTTTACCCGAAAGTGGTATAGGCCCCGTCGGAACTATACCGGCAGGAGCTCGGTCTCCGGGTTCTGCACTTGTTGCTGGTACGTCAGCCGTTGAGCAAAGTACAGCCCCAACATCTATTACCAGCTCCAACAGTAGCAACGTTTCCCAACCTTCCTCAGTTGCAGAAGCTGTGTCGCCTGGAGTCATTAAACCACCAGCTCCAATAGGACAGCCATCCACCAGTGCTAGCCAAACTTCCTCATCCGCAGCACCGCCAAGTGGTTATACAGTGGCTATACAGAGACCAGCAAGCAGCCAACATCGTGCAAATAATACCTCAAATACTGGACCAGCTACTTCATCTGCTCTCAGTGATGTACAAACCGCAACTCTTAACTTTGGACCTATAGGATCAGGTACGAATAGCCGTGTGAATGGTCCACCAGGAGCTATTGGCGAACAACCTTCGGTAAATCGTTACTACGATCATTCACAAATGAATGCAGCTGCAAATGCGCATCAAATGAACTTTCCAATGGATCCAAGCCTAGTACATCAGGGCTTTGGAGCAACGGTTTCGCGTTTAAATCCCCGGGCCTCTGTATTTGGTCAACCGACAAATACCAATAAGGTGCAACAACCGCTTCCAGCAGTTCAACCAACTATAAGTTCAGGAATTTTTCATCAACAGCCCAACCAACAACAGCAACAACAACAAGCTCCACAACCACCCCAACAACAGAGCGGAGGAGTTAACTCAGTGTCTAACTTTAATGCCGCCCCTGGAAAACCTTTACCATCAACAACTGGCTTAGCACCGGCACGTCCTCAATCACAACCGCAGGTCGGACAAAGCCAACGATGGTATGGAGGTGACTATTCAACTGCTTATATACCGCCAAATGCACGAGACATTCTTAACCTAGAAAATGGCAATGGTGGCACAAACACTCCGGCTGCTATGTCACCCAATCAAAGTAATGCTGTATCTGTACCTAATGCTGGCAGCAGCGGGCTCTTGCAAACTCCTCCACAGATGAATCAGCCGCAGCAACAGCAAACAGATGACATGCGAAAAATTCCTCGGCCTATTGGCACTGAACGTGCGTCGTGGAAGTATAACAATTATCCGAACATGGGAAACATGGGAATGAATGTTGGGGGAAATGTTGGCACAGCAGTTGGCTTAGCTACAATGGATGATACTCTGGCTGCGATGGCCGCAGTTGCTGCGGGTATGCCTGGTGGGCCTGGGGGTCCAATGCCTCCATGGATGCTGGGCGCTGATAAACAACAAGCAGCCGCCGCTCAACAACAGCAGCAGCAGCACTCCAACTGGATGAAACAACAGTATCGCTATTATGGTGGCGGAGGCTTAGGCGTGAATCCAGCTGAATACCACCACCAGCAAGATCAGTTCCATGTAAGTGAATAATTTTAATTTTAGATTCCAATCGAATTTTCATGCATAAATAGTTGTTATCATTGTTCCTAGCTAAAATGGAACAATTGAGTGCAGCTAGGCCTCGCCATTGATCAGAGTGGGGTTTATTGTTCCATACACAATAAACCGTTCTGGACTCTGGTGCTGTTTAGGCCCCTACTCTGTGGGGATTGTCTAACTCGCCAGGGGGCGTAGTACGCTTAAAGTGGCTTGGGCCACCGTGGGGTTAAGCCTTTCAGGCAGGAACCCACGTTAGACCCTTGCCACAATTCTGTTATCATTGCTATAATGGAACTCTTGTCCGTAATCAACGATCACATGTAAATGTGCGAAAAATCTGGAGAAAAGGCTATAGATAAAAGGCAATAGATATTTTATCAGAGATTAGTTCGGGATAGACAACACTTTATTTTATTTTTTTTTGGACCTCTACCCAAGTATGCGCTTATAAAATGTACGCTCCAATGTGATTCAACAAAATAAACAACACCAAATTATAATATAATTGGTAACGGGGAACTAATCGAAATTTTCTTGATTTTCTACTTTCATTATTGCAGATGGCTTTGGATTATCATAACACAATGCCACCTCCAAACCTTAATCAAAGTCAGCCTATGAATTTAATACCAACGTTTCCGTATCCACATTTTGTGGGTCATGTCGGAGGTGCTGAGATGTCACACATGCCGGACAAGGTTGAACTGTGGGATCACCACGATAAGCATGTAAGTTTTTATTTTTAAATTTTGATGAACAACGATGAACTCTTCAAGCTACATAGACTTCGAATTGAAATTCATAATAGTCCTTAGTTACCTAAGTTAATCATCGAACGAAAGTTATTAAGTACGTGGTGCTCTCTTTTTATGGAGATAAGTATAGAGCGAAGTAGAATATTGAGTTCAATCGAATTGATATTAGAGTTAATTGTTTGTGCTCTTGTGTAAGAGTGTAAAAGAGAATCAAAAACGATATTATTGTACACTTTCTGCAGCAATATGAATTTTTATCACAGGGCATAGCTTTAGACGTAAACAACAATCGAGAAACAGTGTCTTAGTGTCTAAAAAACAACTGCTAACGATTAGTACGGTTGTAGTTCAATTAGATATCATCTGTACTTAATGAAACCATTGTTGAAAATTTATGATCATATTATTTTTTCGAGAAGCTTTATATAGGGAAAACTGAAATTATTTTCTTTTTGTGCGTAAAATATTTTTGTTAGATAACAAAACTTTTGCATATTTTTGAAAAACATTTAAGTCAAATAAATTAAATCAGAATTGCGTGTGACGACCGACCTTTAACTCCTTTACATCACTTGGCCTAATGCAATTCTTCATCTACTCTAATCGAAGAGTGCCAGAATGCCAGAGCCAGGGCCTTGTTGTCATACGAAGGCTTACTTTTTATTCGAAAGTTGATAAAGTAGTATATTTAAGAAGTGGTTTCATCCTTTCCAAAATTTTTTACATACACTCAGTTTAATATGTGCACATAAGGATCGAACTTTCTTTGATTTTACGCGAAATATTGGAAGCGGCAAATTTGTATCGTTTATAATAAGGCGCATGGAGGGATTCAATTCTTCCATAAGATACGTTCTTTGCTTAAAATTATTGGCATACCCAGCAGAACAGGCCGAAATTGTGAATGTAGATTAAACAAAAAAAAATTTATGAGCAAGTTTCCGATAATGATTCCGCATGAGCTAATAGAATAAAAGGTGAACCTATATCAAGTCGTTCATGCATGTTTCATAAATTCATATATTTTTGTAGCAAAAGGTGTCGTAGAATGCTCTCTGCTCTTCTTGGAATGATTTAACAAATTTTCAATAACAAATTGCGTGCAAGAAATTTTAATGTTTTTGCGACTGGGAGAAGGTTTACACAGATTAGGACAGAGACATGTGAACAGACGAACAGACAATTATGCCTAGATGTGTTCCGAATTTTTGATACTGCTTAAACACATATATATTACTTTTGATGAGGTCATTGAAGTTTCCTTTTTAGATGTTACAAATATTTGGAGAAATTAAGTATATGCCCAGCTTTCGCTGGTGGGCGTAAAAATCGATCAATTGCATCATGTAAAAAATCCAAATAAATCAAATCAAAAGTTCAATTCCTCCAATTCTATTCTAAGGAACTAGGCAGTCTTAGTTATGGTCTTAGAATTCAAAAGATTTTTTCAAAAAGAGACTCGCGCACGATCTTTTTATTTGATAATTAAACATATAATTAAGCTTCGTATCTATGAAGTTTCGTTATGATGGATTTATTAGAGATGCCTAACTTTCATATCATTATTTCTATCAAATCATCTATTGAAAGCTACTAGCAGTCCTTAGATATATAAAATCGAAAACACTTGTGAAGCTTTTTTTTTTAACTCAGTGAGTCGCTGCAAGATGAAACTGCACACATGGAAACGCACTGGAAACTGGAAATTCCAATTTTAAAAAGTAATGCTCTCAATGCAAGATTCCGTTTACTTCTTGAAAATAATAGCATCAAACCGTGCATTTCTTACTAAGGAACCGACTATAGTATGTTTAAGAATGCTTTGATCTTTGATGATAAACTCTGACTGTAAATTCAAATACAGTCAGTTTTTAAGGATGAGAAGAAGATCTATACACAGCAATTGTCCCCGCTTTCAACAATTGGGAATTTTTTATATACAAATTATTGTGACTGGATCGCCAATTTAGGACAAGACCCACAGAATTAGATATGAATCGAGTTTTCCTAAAAAAATTGATTTCATAACGAGTGACATAATAAATATTTGAAATCTTTTCCATGAATTCAACGTCACATTTGCTTCCCTAATAAATTATCGTAAGAAATTTTTAATGTATCAGTTGACTTTTATATAAAAATCCTGATACCAATGTTTGAAAAAAACGTTGACGATCAAAAACGTGAATTAGAGACAAATTTTCTTGAAAATAACGAACACTGGCTAAGTATCCGACTGAGTAGCCGAGTATAGTGTAACTATTAAGTCAATGCTCGCGGGTTCAAATCTCAAGTGCGGTAAAGTCTTTTTTGGTGGTAAAGTCGCTCAGTCGGTAAAGGCATAACAATTATTCAATGGGCACACACCCAACCGCTAGACTGCGCAAACTATTTCCCTATTTCTTTGTCTTTCCTGTGTTACACGTCTAGGGGGCGCATCTCCTGAGGGTATATTAAAAAAAAAAAGGAAGATTTCATAAACATCGTAACATCCTTTCATTATTAAATTATTCTCGTAGCCTTCATTCTTATTGACGTCATGTCAAAATAAGGTCAAGAACCTACCCGAGAAACGCTTTGCTTTTGAATATATTTCCCCGGACCTGCAATAGTAGAATTACAAAGAAAAATGATAAATTTTAATTAAAGGTAAAGCTTGAGTGGTTTAAGATATGCTATATTAAATTAAAATGCGACGATGCGTATTAAAAAATGCTTTTTTTTTACACGAATTTTATATTTCTTTTTTTTATAAATTCTCATCGATTGAATGCTTCAGAGTTGGGCAAGCAATTGGTCAAATTGATGATGTGGTAGTGGTGGCAGTGTCGGTATTAAAAAGCAGTCAACGAATATTAATTTACTAAATAGCAAATCCAGTACTATCGCAACAACAATAAAAACTTCGGATTATATGTCACCATTAACGCCATCTACACTTTCTATTAAGTAGTATGCATGCACGATGAAGATGATGATTACGATGATGATAATCGATCATTCGTTCAGCTACAGAATCAATTGTTTGTACAACATTTACGTAAACTCCACATACAAACAAACAAGCATATTTAAAAAATATAAACTTTGTTTCGAATTAAGTGAAAAACCAACAAACACAATAGCAATAAAAAGAGATCAAAATATATATAATAAAAACAAATATATACGTAAATATATTTATTTGGCAACAATAAATAAATAAATATACAATACTGCAGCAAACTGTAACTAAGCCAATGCGATGGGGACGACATATGATGTAATAGAATGGGAGAAGGAAAGTCGAAACTCTTATATAAATGCAGTCCTCCAGCACTCTTTGCCAATTTTTAGTGCAAGCGAGCTCTAGCTTTGAATTTGGAAAAATTGAAAATATTTCTCATCTTTTTTTTTTCTCTTTTTTTTTTTTTTTTACTTTAATTTTTTAATTGTATTGACTAATTTGTATTTAATGGTTTATGCGATTAGAAATTACTTAAAGGAAAAAAAAAAAAAAAAGAAAAAAAAAAGAAGAAAAATAGCGAAAATAAGGAAGAATTTTTTGGAAGCAAATTAATAAACTATAATGAAATAAAGCACATAACACACACGCCAGCCAGATGTACGAGGAGATGAACACAAACGAAAAAAAAAAACAAATGCCTATCCAAACCACATATACACAAACACGTACATACATACATGTAAAACTATATTAATAAAACAAAAAAAAGGAATAAATAAATTTAGAGAGAGAGAGAGAGAGAGAGAGAGAGGGAAGAAAACGAAAAGAACATAAAACTTTTAGTCCTTAAACAGCTACAAAAAAGATTTGAAAAATCATAATTATTATTATTAACTTAACTACACTTTTGAATATTTAATACAGAGATAGCAAAAGAAGCAGAAAAAGAAATCGAAGAACATTTAACATATATTATAATAATAAAACTATGAAGGATACAAATAGAAAAAAAAAAACAAACAAAAAACAACAAACAAACAAACAAACAAACAAACATAGAAAATATTTACTCAATGAAAGAAAAGCTGCAAAAAAGAAAAGTAAAGAAAAACTTTAAAAAATGAGATAATTGTTTCTTAATCGACAGAAGACGAGAGAAAAGACGAAAAATTAAACATAATAATAGTGGGGGAAAAAAGCGATAAATTTTTTTTTTTTTTTTTTTTTTTTTTTTTTTTTTTTGTTGTTCAAATCTTCTTCGTATCACACCTCGTGACAAGGAGACATTTTCAATAATAACGGAAAATATCAAATTGATTAATAAGCCTTCCGGCTTAATTGCTGCCAGACCATGAATTCAAAACGATAATGACACTGACGAAATGACGACTATATCACACGACTGCACTGTAATAATAATGATGATGCTGGCTACATAATTGCTGTAGCGTGTTAATGCCAATAAATATGACGGGATTTATAAGAGCATATGCATCAATGATAAATTTTTATCTAGATATATATATATATATATAAATATATATATATAAAAAGGAAAAAAACATTTGATTTTTTAAAAGGAATTTGTCAAAAAAAAGAAAAAAAAAAAAAACATGCACCTAAAACGAACGAGAGGATTAAAAGAGATCGCGCTTACTTTTTATTATTATTAATTAAAATTGATTCTAATTTTTTAATTCAAAAAGAAAAAGAAAGAAATTAGTAATCCAATAAATTTAAATTTGAAAAAAAAAAAAAGCTTATATAGAAGAAGAATATCTGCAACTTTTTCTAATAAAAAAGTTTTTGTACATCCAGGCATGTAAGAGTAGTTGGTCTCTTTAATTATTGATCCATTTTTTATTCGCTTATTTTTCAATGTTTACATATATATGTATTTGCATATGTATATATGTATGTATACATACTTTTTAAAAGAAATACTTTTAGTTTAATTATAATGAGAACACAATCACTCTTTTATTCTCGACATTGATATACGATTTATAAGCAAAACGTTAATTTTAATATTAACTCAATATAAACGCAAACACAAGCACATACACATACACACACAGATAGACAAACATTAACACCCAAACACATTTATGTATACCTTGCATATATATATATATAAAAACGTATGCATACATAAATTTAAAAAGGGAAGCTATTATAACATTTTGGAAATAAAGAAGAAGAAATGCTAAGGAGAAAAATGGGGAAAAACGGAATTGAATATATTATAAAAAAAAAAAAAAACAAAAAAAAAAAAAAACGAAAGAAGGATATGCTTACATACATATAATATGTGTATATATATGTATGTGATTTAATTTCTTATTATTATTATTATTATTATTATTATTCTAATTATATAAGCTCTGATAAATACATACATGCATACAATACATACTACATTTAAAAATAAAAAGAAATACTATTAAAATTACTTATAATAAAAGATACCAATACAACAACCACAGTAACTAAATCTATATGAATGAATATCTATTAAAAAAAAATATATATATATATATTTGATTTAAAATATTGAAGAAAAAAACCTAAACCTGTTGAATTTTTATTTAAATATTTATCTTTAAGTTTTACTAAACACTTTCTTCCTCCCCGCATTTCCTTTTATAAAACTACATCCCTATCTAACTTTTCGCTCGAATACGAATAATTCTCGAAATGAAACGCCAAGAGAATAAAAACGACGACGAAAATGAAAGTTCATGTGGGATATATACATGTATATATATCTCTCGCTTTGGCTTCCAGCGCTATGGTATACTACTACAAACACATGTAAAGCAATTGTTCTAAACTCATAATGCCATTAATAATGATAATTAAAGAAAGAAAGAAGAAGACTATAAACATCTTTGCTCCTTCGAGCCTCTCTATAGCGTATATAGCATGTGGTCTTAGTCAAAGATCAAGTTGCGAAATTTCTATTTTCTTATTTTAATTCATTTCGATAATATTCGAACATTTTTGGAATAACCTACCAGCGGTGATCTTTCCCACAGTACTTTATGTCGCCGTTTTCAAGTCGAACGTTCACAAGCATTACTCCCTTTATTCTGGCTTCTCTTTCTATATAATCCTTCCTGGGGGATATCTCCTTAGCTCCTTGGCTCGTCATGAAAAAAAAAAAAAAAATTCGAAATCTTATGCATACATACACATTTTATGTGGTCTGCGGAGAGTACAAAAACAATAAGATTAGTTCTATATATGCTTATGTTTCGATGATATGCGAAAACGCGAAGAAGAATGTGTTACATATGCATTTTAAAAGCAATTCCGACTTGAAGGAAACTTACTCCTCGTATAATTCATTCTTAGTATGATCGACTTTTCTTCTCTTTCTTAAAGACTGTTGATTTTTATTTGATCGCTGCCCATAAACTAAACTATTTTCCGATTAACCTTAATCGGTCATCTATCTACCTAACAGTCAATCTCCGATCTACACTTGTGATTACATGGAATTACATTCAATGGAAGGATTTTCTGAATTTTAACCAAAGATTGTCGATGTCTGCCTATGGAATTGCAGAAGCTGTATAAACTGAAGTTCAGCTGTCCGCCTTCATTTGCATACTTAAATGTTAAAGTAACCGAATATCAATTGACGCATACCAATGCCACTTTACTACGTATTCTTAATGTCCAGTGATGGATCAACAGTTTGTAAATTAAATATGGCTTAGTAAGTTTTCCTTAGATACGGGGAATTAGCTTCGAAAATAAGCACAAAAGTTATATGCACCTTAAGATTGCTGGAATGCAAATCTTAAATGAGAAGCATTGAAAAGGTATGGTTTTTCCTGCTAATAGTCAGTCAGATGTAGATAAGGATCGCGAAGAATTTTTGCTTTGATAAAATTTTCAAGAATGCACAGGCGGAAAAGGATTAAAAGTATTTTGAGGATGAAGACAGTTTGCTCGAGTTCTCGACATTTTTTCGCATGCAGACGGATTTGATTAGAAGCGTTATTCTTTCGTTTTTCATACAAAATCGCAATTCTTCGGAGTAATAATAAATAAATTATTGATGCACTGGACTTCGTTACACCTAAACAAAAGTTAAGTTTAACCAATGACCATATATTTATAAATAAATTAAATCCTTATATATATTTATATATGTATATAAAAAATTGAAGAATCGGAACAAACGTTATAAACGTTATGGCTTACCTTGTGCACTGGTGGGGAGAGAGAAGACTTGAATTTCAACTTATGCCCTCAACTATTGAATTATCTTAATGATGATAGTATTGATTGAGGGATGATATAACGTTATTATGATATGAAATATTCTGTTATGCTTTCTCTTTTCATTGTTTTGTTTAAAGATTTTACTACTACTTATATGCCTACAACAACAACTTCAATAATTTGTCAGAAAATTACATTTCATTTAAAAGAATAGAAAATTTGCTCTTCAGTTGGATTGAATATATATATATATCTATACATATACATATACATAATGTATAAAGATATATAATTGATATATATGTTATGTATCTACATATATATATATATATATATATATATATATAATACAAATGGTATATATGTTCATAGGCAAGTAGAATAAAACAAGAAAAAAAAAAATTAAATATTGCAACTTTCGAAAAAATAATGTCAGTGTATTAGTAAAGAAAACAAATGCATATAAAAAATACAAAAAAAAAAAAAAAAAACTTTGTATAGAAAATTTTTTGTTTATCTATCACTCTTTTTCTTTCTAATTAACCACAAATACATATGGTTGGTTGTAGGGCAAAAAGATAGAATTGGCTTTTTTATTACAACTCAACATATATGTAAGAAAACTAATAAGATTTGGGAAGAAACTATTTAAAAAAAAAGAAGGAGAAAAACGCCGACAGTTTACAAAAAAAAACTTTGACAACACTTGGAACTACATATTGAAAGGATTGATAACTAAAAAGTGCAGAAACATATGCAACACACACATACACATATAACATATACGTACATACATATAAACAGACACAATTATGCGATATAAAATTTTAAATACATCTATTGAACTTTCTTAATAATTCAAAAAGCGATATATTCTCCTATTTGATGAATAAAACTAAATAAAATAATAAGGGTAAGGATTATTAAACTAATAAAAAAAAAAAAATGGCAACAAAAACTGTTTATCACACCAATCATATTAATAATAATAAATAATTAATGATTATTAAGTAAATATTTAATTATTAATATAATACCAAACAAACAAACTCTCATACAGTTATAAGCAAGAAGAAGATTCGATAAAGTCATGCAAAATACAAACAAAGCGTTTCTTTAGTATTATATTGCATTCCATAAAAAATCGTAAAATCCAATGCATAAATATCCATACATACATACCTACGTATATTAATTAGTAATATTTAACGAAATTGCATTTAAATCGAAAACAGCAACAATTCGTTACCGAGTTATTTATAATATGAATATAAAAATTAAAAAAAAAAAAAACAAAATAAAAAACAAAAAACAGAATAATTGCAATTTCCCAGCAAAATAGTTCATTATAGAAAATAAAATTAATTGAAAATATTATGAAAATAATAATATATGAAAACAAAAAAATTACATGACCTTAAAAAAATAATTAAGGTATGAAAAAAATGACTAATATAGGATGAAAAAAAGGAAGAATGTTGTTTTCGTTTAGAGTTAAAATTAAATTATCCTAATTTCATTAGCAATGAAACTTGTTAGACTCATCTTTTAGGCGAGATCATTTTTTTTTTTTTAAATTTTCAATTATATTTCAAATATTTACAAACCCGGGCATCTTTTTCTAATCTCTACAAATATATTAAAGTGAATCGCAAAATTTTTATTTAACAAGATCTTCCATCTTTATTTATTGAAATGAAAAAAAAAATGCAAATAAATTATAAATATGATTTTGGAGAGCCTTCTTTTGGATCTTATACAAATGGTTCAATGTTAAACTCCAAAACTGAGCAAGGTGTAATTAATTCGAAAGCCTGCAATACGGTGGGATGTAAAACGCCAATTTTACCAATAGCCACATTATTGTAAATAATGTAAGCACAACGTCCAGGAAAGTAAGTCTCATCTATCAGAAAATCATAAAAATTTTATAGAATTTTTTTTTTCGCAATCTTAACGCAACTATTACCATCGACAGCTTGCAGCCAGTAGCCCGTAGAGGCGGAATTGTTTGACGATTCCCAAGGAACTTCCAATAATTGCATAACGCGATCTAACAAACCATGTACTACTTCAAATCCTGCTGTTTTATTACAATTAATAGCACATAAACGCCTTTCGTTACGTGCTCCTACTTCGGTTTCATTATCGGTTATAACCACATCGCTAATTTCGAAAAGTTTTAAAGGCAAAGGCATTTTACGATTGGCAGCTAATGTTTTCAACAGGCCGGGCAATAATGTGGTACGTACAACTTGAAATTCTAACGTTTTAGGATTAGCTATGTGCACAGCCGGTATATGATCAATTATTTTATTCAATTTGTTTGCCACATCATCACGCGAGCATAAAGTAAATGTTAAAGTTTCAGTGAAACCCGCTTGAGCGACTTGTTCCCTTAACTGTTCGGTTAATTTATTTAAGGGATATTGTTTGGCGATATGCATAAAGGAAGGCAGCGTTTTTCGTATATTATTGTAGCCATAAGCGATGGCCACGTCTTCATAAATATCACAATTGTGTATAATATCATGTCTAGTGGGCGGTATAGATACCTGAATAGAATCTTCATCGGTCATTTTCTCAGCTTCTAAATACATGCGAGTCAGCATATCAGCAATTTTCTCAGGTGTTTCCTCAATGCCAATAATTTTATTCGTCTTATTTGTCGATATTATTTCTTGGCGTACAGCTAACTCGGGATACGTTACAATTGTGCCATCCGGTTGTATAACATCGCAAGGTTCTACAGCGAATTTTTGCTGACAATGCGTAGAAAACATACATACAATTGTATCTAAAACTACTTTAGCTTTGGTTAAGTCGGTGGCCGTAGCCTCAATGAATACATTTTTCGTATTTAAGGAGATCTTTGAATGATTTCCATTAATAATTGGAGGCAGTGATAAGACTAGGTCATTGGCATCATAAATAACTGGATATAAAGGGGAATCTCTTATTATGGGTAAATATTGTTTAAGTTGAGAATGATTGTTATAAAATTCCATGAGTTCTTCACCGTTCATGCTTTTACTTTGATTCAATGGTATAAAATTGATGTCTTTCGGAGAACGTGCCTCATAACGAAATGGTCCCTGTATGCTATCTAAATCATGTGTGCCAATCGCTACTAGAGCACGTTTACGGCAAATATTCTGATGTAATTTGTCTTGCAAATCGATAAAGCTATCATAAGACGATTGAGTAAACTTGATATCACGCAACACAGCAGCTACAGCGTAGGGACGAACGCTTGCAGTTTCTGGCAAAATTTTTAAAATTTGTCGCTTACCATCCTTAGGCTCACACAATTCAAATTTGGGAGGCTTAATTCTTTTATAAGAGTAAAATCAGCGTATAAAAATTATTTGATTTATGAAATGCTTACTTGCCCTGAAACACTAATAAGCTGGTCACTAGTCCCTCCAAACATAGTAAATCATAACGATTAGCCGGTATATCAATTCGATAAATAATTTCTTCTGAAGCATCAGCAATTCCGCTTGCCTCGTCGCCTTGCTCTCTGGTTAACATTTGCTTTTCTGTGGTCACTTCATCTAGTTCTAGCCCAAAAGCGAAACACAATTGTTGAAAATCGTCATCACTGTATTTTGTACCCAAAGCTTCAAATAATAAATCCCGTTTCACACCAATTGTTGGCATTTTGCAATTCAGTTAAGATTTTGCCAAAGAAATGTTTTTATCTATTTAGCCGAACTACAAAAACATTAAGAGAATTGCACACGTTGTGCTTCTCTCTTCTTCTTTCTATTTGCAAGCATAATGAAATAAGAACTTTTATGTTAACATACGTATAATAACAACCATGTTTTCTCCATTTTCCAGTTGGAAATTAATTTCACAAATGATCGGTTGGCCGCGCGAAATGTGTTAAAATAAATTTTTAAAGTTTGGAAATCTTTAAAAGCATTAAAAATGCAAAGTTAATATGATAAATAATTAGAATTTCCAAAAGTTTCCATTAAAAGTATGTTTGTTAAAAAGTAGTTTTGTTTTTTTTTTTTTTCTCAAATCATGCAACTAATGTAAGCAAGTAGAGAAAAAAGTGCGCTTGGCGAGCGATAATCATTGTTTATCTTTTTAGAGCATCAAAGATATAAAAGTTAAAAATTGTTGTGATAATTTTTTAATTTGTGTTAAGAGAATTTTTAAAATTTCCAAAATAAAAGACTGCACTTTCTGTACATCTCATTATACGTAAATAAAAAATTAAGCGCCATAAAATGTGTTCATGTGCAGCAGTATTTCCAAAAATTATAGGATGTGTCGAAAAATTATAGGATGTGTCGAAGAAGACGTTTTGTTTTTTTTATTACGATTCTTTGAAAAAGTATATCCGTTCATGTTTATATTATTCGGCAATTATAATGAGTAACAAAGTGTGAGTGATGATTTGAGTGAATTTGCGCGTTCGCGTTTTATTGTGTGGAGTATAGCAAATAGTTTCGCTGTATGAGCCGGGTAAGTGAATTTATTATCAATAGGAATGCTATTGAAATTTTTTATTAAAGGAAGCCTTTGTGCAACATTTTTACGTTAATTTTCAAAAATTGTATATTTTTATGCCATAAAGTAATCGGGCTGCGTTATCCTTTAAAATATATAAAACAATCATAGACTTGTTGTCTTTCCATCAAACAACTGCAATAAATAGAAATTCATATCTGTAACACTTTAAATCATATTACTGCCGACAGTGATGAGTTTTCTTTGCAAACAGTTGCCGAGTTGTTAAGATTGTAAAGGAAACGTATAAGAATTCAAAAAAGTTTAAAAAAGTAAAAACTTTGATTTCATGGGTATGCAATTGTCGCTTCAACTCGAGTATAGTGTTTTCATTCTTGTACGAATATAATTTCGCGCTTGCATTCAACCGGTTAATTTCTTTCTTTCTTTTCAACCTGTTGTCGCCTCGGCGACAATTGAAATCGATTTGAAATCTCCAGCATACTAAATAAAAAGATTTGGCTTTTAAACGAAGACGATTTGTCGCTTGTGTCTACTTACTTGATAGACCTGTAAACTGTCTTATTCAAACCGTGTCGCAGTTAATATGCCCACTGAAAGTTTCTTGTAGTTATTATAGGTTTCTTACTTGACACGAACAGGTGCTTATATCGATCCGTTATTTCAAAAGCCTCTTTCTCTTCTAAGCCATGTTCATATATCAATCTATTCCAAGATAATATACGTAAGGAGATGTCATGATATCTAGAGATAAATAGGAAGAGATTTGCAGAGCTTCAAATTGATCTTTTCATTTGTTTTTATTTATTAGTTTAATACCGGTTCTCCTGCAGCAACCCATAATACACTATATTGACCCGAAGGGTAGAAAACCCCGTTAAGATTATCAATTGGCCATTTTCGCAATAAAATTTGCTAAGTTGTTGGTGAAGTAAAAGCGATTAGTCTTTGCGTTTGAAAATGATTTACATCTTACTCGTAATAAGACTGAAATCATTTTTAAGTTTTGATAAAATATTTCCTTCTACTTCCGTTATTGGCTTTTTTTTTCTTTCGAAATAATCCCAATTACTAATTCGGACACATATTCCGAATACATACTAGTTAAGCAAAATGTGTAAAATTTTTTTTACACTTGTTTAATTCGGTTTTCTGTTTTTCAAAATTCAGCGCCAATTATATTGTAATCAATCACGGATTAATTTTCTTAAAGAAATCAAAAAAAAAAAAGAATTGTAAAAAATGGAAAGATTACAATGATTGATCAACGTTGTTGAAAAATTGCATTTTTAAGAATAACAAAAATAAGTGTTGCATTAGCCTCTGGGATATCTTGAAGCAAGTATTGAATAGAAATTCCTGATACTTGTGTATGTATCGATAGTCCGAGTAGTTGGAGATTATCCTTCGTTTCTTTTTTTTTTTTTGGAATATGATCGGATGTTCAGGGGACAGTGGCGGCCAGGAAGGGTTGTAAATAAAAAACGATGGAAGGAGAGAATAGAGTTTGATTTAAACGAAGAAACATCAGGCACTGCGGCAAAGATATCTACTGGTAGATTGTTCCCAAGACGTGTATGTAATGTGATCAAAGAATGAGAAGTCGCGGTAGTATGTCGTGCGATATACAAGCAATTTTAGGGCGAGTGGTTGGGAACGCGGACAAGAACTTAATTAGAGGACTTAGTTGGTCGACAAATTTCCTTTATCTTCATAGAACACTTGCACAGAGTCCACATTATGCCGTTGCTTGAGAATCTCTAGGGTTGTGGACAAGCTTTCGTCGCCCTTGAGTCTAAAGGAGGTCTTAAAAAGCAGAAGTTTAGTTGTTTTGAAAGGTCATATGGATTCGCGCGCTATAGGTCGATGTAGGTGAAGCACTAGTCTCAAATTGCATACGTTAAGTTTAAATAACGAGATAAAAGAAAGCAGTATTTAGGAACTTATTTAAATTCATTGAAAGGTATCTTCAGACAGATATGTGTAATATTAGTTTGCGGAGGAACTGTGTGGTTTCGCTGCCACGAGCTTTTTAAATAAAGTTCTTCAATTTTTAACTATTTATTAAAGATCTTCACAATCTTTTACCTCATTCTAAAGATAATTTACTATACATGTGTTGTTTGCATGGATTACGCTTTCAAATCTAACCATAACTTGATGTTAATATTTCTACAGAGGTTATGTTCGTGTGTTTACAGGGGCCGGCAATTCGAATTCATCTTCACACCTTTTCGCTTCACAATTAAAATTTAAATGTTAGAAAAAAGAAGAAAAAAAAAGAACAACAAACCATACCTGATCCGATTTGATGTCTAAAATTTTTCAACATACATTGAAAATATGTCAACAATACTTCTGCCAGCTATTTGTAGATGATATCATCCATTGTTATCAATTGTTATGAGAGATGAGAATTACCTTTTTGGATTTTTTTTGGCAATTCTATACATGTACATGGTACACACATATTCACATAAACACTTTGAATTCAATCTGGTTTCTTTTATTTTCAAATGAAATAAAAATATTTTGAAAAATATTTTCTTGAAATTGATTTGAAATAAAGTCAAGTGCGCTCAAGTGCTTTGTTAATCGTGTATAAGAATTTACATCGAGAAATTAATCAAAAGAAATTTCCCAGAAGGCAGTTAGTACATTTTATACATCTACCTGCCGTCACGCAAACGCGAACAGTTATAATAAGTGTGTGTGTGTTTGAGTCTTGTTTATCTCTTTGTGTGACCCGAGAAGGTAATTGATATATTTATGTTAAAAGTGAAATTATTATTAATTCGTCTTTTCTTCTTCTTCTTCTTCTTCTTCTTCTCCTTGTTAGTTAATTCTGCTTCAATGAAAAAATTAAAATTATCTGAGATTTTATCTTGTTAACAACAAGGCGTTTATAGCGAAAGAGAACGAAGACATTATAGTTTTAATATTTTATTTGTAACACTATGAAATTGATTTTGGGAAATTTTAGGAAAAGCTGTAACGTCTTGCTTGATTGTGATAATAAATTATTATTATCCTTATCACGAATTGTGAAATTGTTTATTACATTATAATAAGTAAATATATATCAGGTTTGGATATTTGTTAGGCGAATAGACTCACTATTCAAGTGTGTTTGTGATAGCTGTGAAGTAAAGTTTTCCTCTCTGTCTTCCTCTGGAAGAACAAATTTCTCTACCGACTAGTTTCTTAGGGATAAATTTTATATTTCAAATAACATCTGAACTTATAGCTACCACTGTCTGCTGTACATGCTTTAGTTCGTTGTCTAATCGATTTAGGCCTTTGGGGACTCACTGTAGTTCTCTATTCTGTTTCTGCTTGAATATCCTTATGCGCCCGATTATCCGCCGCTCTATCTATTGTGGTTGAAAATTCTCCTTTTTCCACGTAGTATTTTTGCGTTTGGATTGAATGTTTTCCAAAAAAAATCTCACGTAATGTCATCGTGAAGACACAGTTTGCATCATGATGTAAATCGGTTGAGAGTTGAGGTACGTCAGTGGCACTGCCAAAAAAATCTTACAAAATTTTTAATTTATGGGCAGTGTATGTGTGTGTGTAAGAGATAGAATGAGAAAGAGAGAGAGAGAGAGAGAGATAGAAATCGTTGCATCATGTCGAAATCTCACAATAATAAATGAGTTGCAAAAAAAGCAAGAAGTTATGAAAAATGGAATTCGTTGGGAAATATTTTTAATGAAAGGCTATGCATTTATTTAAATTTTATCTAAAAAAATTATGAATTTTCTTTCTTAGTATATATTATACAAAAGTTGAGATCTTCTATATATAAAAAGGAAATACATACATAAATATGTCGTTAGGTATATAGTTAGGCAAAAAGGTATTTAAAATTCCTTGTAAAAGTAATGTATGCCTCGTACTTGTTGAGCTGTCGTAAGACGCGACAGATATAGCGAGAAGTCAATTTTGTAAATTAAGATTTTTGTTATCCGTGTTGACATCTTCTTTTGCTTACTGCTGTTGTAATAATAATTCCGTTAAAAAATGTCAATTTTTCATTGACAGTCTGAGGTCCTGTGTGAAAGGAAGGCAGAAACGATAATTTTACTTATTTCAAATAATCATAATTTGATACTTACAATAGAGCTGAAATTGAATTTGATACTTACTTGAAGAACTGACGTAAAACCTCATAAAATTCCTTTATGAAAATGCGGAAAATTTATATAAAAAATTTGGAGTAAATGAAAAATGAAATTCATATTCGTATAAATTTGTTGAAATTTTTTGTAAAGTTCAT